TCTGTCTTCTCCCATTTCTCTCAGCATATTGATTTTGTGAGGAAATTGTATGCACCATAAATTCTGCGAAAACAGTTTGATCATTTTTATACATTCTTAAAAAATCGAGTTCCCAACCCCATTAAAGAAGCCAGACAGCAAATTGTTTAACCCAGTCCATATATGTAATATAATTATTTTTAAAAGGTCATGGTATTTTCAACTCGTGTTATGTGTGCCTACGCATATTGAGTGCATTATGTGTACGTACATATGTGTTCCTCTGTTCTTGGCAACGTAAATGGGACGCCAGCTTCGGTCTGATTATTTCCGCCGTGGCGGACTCCGCTCACCCGTCGTACGCTGTGCTCGTAATGTCATTTACTTTGCTGGCCTTGGCGTCTTTTTCAAAGCTGTCTGTTGGACGCTGTTCGGGTGTAATGTAATTGTGGCACCCGGCACGATACAAGGTCATAAATCAGTCCGAGCACCTCATATATTCGGAGGCTGTGGCGCGAGACTGCACATTACTGATTATCCGAAGGAGCGCGGTGAACTACAGCGCCAGCAGTGATTAGTTAACGGAACAGCTTCCTATCTCGCCGTATTTCACCCAGACCTGAGTTATGTCGAAGGGCCTGCACCAAGCCATTTCAAAGCTATCCGGTCTCAAAAGTTCAAATCTCTCCACAATGCGAAATTCCTTCCTCTTCATCTTTTCTCCTAGGCGCTATCTACTTCCCAGCCGCTCTCTCTCTACCCTCCTTATCCACTCTTCCTGAGCACCTTCATGTCTCCCCGCTCTCCACTCTCGCCACCCTCCATCGCTGCGCTCATTTTCCTCCTAACGTCAAACTGTCCAGCAACTCAGCCGGCTGAGACAGCTAGCCCTCGCCGGCCGAGGGGGGGGGGGCGGGTGCCGCCCCCCCATAGGGTTTTTTCGCGATAGCTCCGAACACGCTGGCGATAGAGAGCTGAAACTTGGCATACCTGACCTTTGATCCAAGCCACATCTTTTGACACCAACCGCATTTTTGGGTCAGGTCAGGTCACTGACCTATGACGTCATAAGTGAACCTCTGCACGGTCTTCAGATGTCGCAACTTCGCAACGCCCTCACTGCCAGAGGAGATGTCACAGGGAAATGAAACTTGCAGGATCTAGTATCCATTATGAGTCCCACAACTTGTATATCTCGGATTTTTCCTAAAGGTCATATGAGGTCAGGTCATTTTCGTGACCTCACCATTATAAGTCAATGGGGAAAAATTCAAACTGCTATTCTGGCGCCGGGAACGATCTCCAACTATCTCAAGCACACAGAATCGTGATTTTATGCACTCCTTGCAAGGTTAGATGCGTCACTTTTGCAATGTTGACCTTGCGTGACGTCATTTATGACGTCATCAAGGTCATATTAGTTTTTCGTCAATAACTCTTGATCAAATTGAGCTAGCGAGTCGGGAAAGCCACCAATGGACTCAGGAAGACCTGCCGAATCGAATGATATGCGACATGATCCCTTTCGACCAACTTCGTGACCTGGGGGTGCTGACCTGACCTTGACCTGAGGTCAACACCCCAAGTTGACCTGACCCGGACAAAAAGTATATCATTCGACGCGCCTGAGCGAGACGAACACGATGCTGCCAAAATCGGCGCTCTGCGGCCGTTTTTTGCGAAGTTATTCACCAAAAACTGAACCGTACCTTGGGGCACTTGACCTGACCTCAGAGGTCACCGGTTGACCTAGGACCTTAAAATCGGGTACCAATCTCTGCGTCTCGTAACGGCGCACACGCTCGTTTTTTTTTCGCGACGCGCTAGCTCCACCAGGGGCGAAACGGCGAGGGGGGGGGGTCGTACCCGCCCCCCCCCCCTCGGCCGGCGCGTATGTAGAAAACCAATAGGTCCGGCGAGGGCTAGTGGCCGTGGAGGCCGTTCGGCTCCTATGGAAGAGCCACCGTCGCGAGGCGCCCCCGGCGTTCGGCGTCGCTTCGGTGACTCTCCCCCGGCACTCGGTGTCCGATCTGGTGCGCCGCAAATTTGTGGCCTGACTCGAGTTCGATGGCGCCCTGTCCATTGCAGCACGAGCGATGCATACGTAACCCAAATAGAAACTACACGTAACCACGCGACGACGAAAAGACGGATAATATTATGGGATACGCGTGGATGGATAACTCTTCATAACAAAGTTTGGAACATTGGAATATGGAATTTGCCTGACACCAACATGACGCATGAGATGTCTTGTGAACATAACGAGTGTTCCCTTACCATGACAGCTATGCTTAATGCATTAGTAATAAAAGGGGGATTTCTTTTAAACAAAATTGGTTCAATTCAGCTCATCACAGCACAGGAACTAAACAAAGATGAGACCAGCATTGTAGCTTCGCGGTAGTTGCCGATAATGTTGCCGCGGTACCACCCGGCGCCGGGCCAAAATAACGCTGCACATCTGCCCGGGTGTAACGGCTGCTGCCTGCCTCTCTGACGTTGATAAAGGGTGGCTTTCGGACGCCGTCTGTGTGGCTCCGCGGACCGACCGTCCACCTTCACACGCTCAAAAGTGGTGCTCGGATGGTCGGCCGCTCCATTTTCGCCCACGGCGCAGCAAGATGATGGTGCGGCGGAGAGGGTGGTACGGCAGGGGAGGAGAATGAAAACGCATTCATGGTGCAGTGCAGCGGTGACGGTTACTCAACAAACGCGATGAGCACTTGAGTATATACAGCCTATACCAGCTTACGTATCGCGAGCTTTGTTGCGCTTCCGTGGTTGCATGTTATTTTACCGTTCATTGGCGTTGCCGAAAACCCAAAATTGTTAACATAATCATCTATTCAAGGGTTTGGAATTAAGATGTTTGGTTGGACGTTAGGAGGTTGATTCAAGTGTCTGGTGGCAGCGATAAGCCATGGGTAAAGGTGCGAGAAGCGCTGCTCATCAGGCTATACGAGTTTGTAGCCTGAAGCGTTGCGAGCCCAGCTCGGTATGGATTTTCCCGGTCATGCTGAGAAGGCCCTCAGAGCCTCCCCACTCCCCAGTATCTGTGTCTAAGAGCCCTCCCCTCCCCTCTCCCGCGGCCGGGCCGGCTGACCTCAGTTCCGGCTAATCACCGGTGGAGTCGCAGCGAGCGGCGCGGCCCAGCGGGCGACGTCCGGTGCTCGTGACCGATGGCGCGCACCGCCTCTGGCACCTCCGCCCCTGACGAGCCGCAATGACCCGGCGCGGGGGTCACTGACCCCGCCCCCCCCCCCCCTCAGACCTGTCTCCGGGCCATGGTGGCAGGCTCAACAGCAGTTAGTAGCGGCCGTCTGACCACTTATGGCTGCCAAAGTGGAGTTGGTTTGATGGCTGCGGTGGAGACTTGGACGGTGTTCAATCCAATTGGGGAAGTTTGGCTTCCCAGAGGAAGTAACTTCTTAGTTTACTTGTGGAATCGACAGCTAACTTTGGATATCTGGCCAGGAAACAAGAGGCTGAGACCACGAAGGCGATGCCGGTATTTTCAGAGGAGGCAATCTGATTAAACGTGATGGAACCAAAGCAAGGCTGCGTTCAAAGCCGACCCGAGGATTTAATTGAAAGGTCACTGAGGTCTATTTCGGCTTCGGCTGCCGGTTCGTGCGGCTTCGGCGGCGTATGGTATAGGCCAGGTGGAGGAGACGCTTTTAATTAGCGCTCGCTTAATTGGGGTACGCTTTAAATGTCGTCCAAGTAGAAGGTCCTGCTAGTTTAGTATTGATATTCATCATTGTGTCATATGCCAGTTAATCATATTGAACATGAGTATTAACAAGACGAAAGGGAAAGTTTGAAAGTAGGAGGAAAGTTTTAAAAGTTATCTGAAAACTTAACACCAGGACTTTAATAACATTACTTATCAATGTAATGCCTATGCAATATGCATGGCTTTTGCAAAAGTGCTGCGTCGAGTTTGCTAGCAATTAACTGGCGACGATTTGTTCGTTATGAAAAATGTATATCTTGAAGCATGAAGATTGGGTAGTGATTTATTTATTTCCTGTTTCAGCGTTTAGTGTACACTGTGCCACATCTTTTAACCTGCGTGTCGTCATGTAACATCAAGTGCAATCACAGGTCATTGCACGTCCCAGACTCGCCACCAATGACAGCACACCTCATCAAACACCGAAATTCATTTCCCAAAACAATTTTCGCACGCTATTCCACAAACGAGCACCGGCCGCATAGAACGACCTCCATCCAGGAGGTCGTCCAAATGAGGTCCTCGCTCATCACCATTGAGGCCAGTGCGGCAGAGCACCGTCGCTGCGCCACAATGGGCGCCACTGCGTGACAACTGTGCCGCCGCTCAGTGTCGCCGCTATATTGCCGTCCATTTGTTTACCCACCGGTCGTGGTATGGGTGCGCCCGTGCTGCCGATGGCGACATTACTTACCGGTGGCGGCAGCGACACTGCACCGCCGCCGTCGCCTACCGACGTCGGACTGCTTTGGCCGCTGATTCGATCACGGAAATGCATGGCGGGAGATCGGTGTAAGGACGAGCGGGGCGGAAAGATCAGATATTGCGACGTCAATCTTGTGATTTCTTGGGCAGATTACGTTAGGATATTGTGAGTTTTTATGCCCAACTTATCGCTGCTTTAGCTTATTGCTTTGTTGTCTGAAGGGATAAATGTTTATTTCAGTAGTGTTCAATTGAGCTCTGAGTACCTAATGTTTGTGATTACATTCTGCAAAATAAGAACCTAACTAAACACAAGCTTTCTGGAAATGTTTCCTTAGCATTAGTAATTTATACGGTCCGGAAAAGAGCTGTCCAAGTTGCTCGACGTAATTTGGCTCTCCATTCGGCCCCCCAGCTGACCTCCTCTCACCACAGGAAGGTCTTACCGCCTCACTTCCCCACACCTCTCCCCAAAGGGAACACAACCACCGCCCCAGCTCACTATATCTTCCCCCTCCTTCCCTAGGTCACCCATAACCTCAGCTCACCTATACATGATCTGCCCCCTCTTCCCCAGGGGGACACCTGCTGCTGGATCTGTGACCGGTGCGAACCGTACGAGTACGTGCTGGACGAGCACACGTGCCGGGACTGCGGCCACGGCAGCTGGCCGTACGATGACAAGCTCTCCTGCTACCAGCTGGAGGTGCAGTATATGAAGTGGAGCTCGCCTCTCTCTGTCGGCCCCATCGTCATCGCCGTGCTAGGTACGGACTGCAGGCGCTCTGCAGCGCGCGCGGAGGCGTGATTACAGCCGTACGACGGCCGACTGATTTACCCATCTGTTCTGCAGACGAGCCCGCCTCTATTTCTGTGACTATAATGGCAAATTATTCACTGATAACGACCGTTAACGTCGTCTCCTCAATGCATGCTTTATGTGTGTAGCGCGGGGCATATACCGGGGCAATCGGCCGGTGTGTTTTCTTAACAACAATGATGGACGCATGTTTCCATTATTTGTAGATAATCACAAGCAATAGGTAAATCAAATAAGCTTGCAGTTTTGTTTTTCGTGAAAGCATCCTATTGCGCTTGTGTGCATTATCAGGGTAATAGTAGCTCGTAGGCGTTCGTATCTATGGCACACATGGTATATACCATTTATTTTGCACTGCACATTGTATGTACTTACAGTGCACACCTATGGCAATCGTTGAAATATCAAACTCCCTTATCGATCGATGAAAATGCAATATGAATTTGTGTGTGGCATTTGTGTTTCTACACTTCTCACACATCTTTTTTATATACTTTTGAGTTTATCTTTATCGAACTCAAAGTGCTTGCATGCATAAAGCTTAGGTTTTGGATTCAAACTCAGTACGTCAGTTGTGGCAAACGGCTTTACCGTTGCGACTACATTTTCATCGTAAGCGTAATCGGCCCCGTTATTTTCCTCAATTTTTCAACAATAGGTATACGGTATCTTCTAAGACGTCGATAGTGATCAGCGATAATGTTGAGTGTATTTTTTGTGACGCTGCTTATTTCAGGACAGAGATAATGCTTCCTGTCACGTGCCTTGAAATGTGATGGCTCTCGGTCAGATATCCGTTGGTACAAACCTCTGGTAAAAACACATCGCTAAGAATATCAGCCGTCCGCTGGTCTTATATGTCGCTCACCAAATTCCTCTCCCGATTGCAAACTTCAGAATCCATCTAACTCCATCAAATGGAATTGTAGCTCTACAGACGTTCTCAGTCGTGCCCGTCCATTTCTGATGAGGGCGGCCGCCCAAATACTGCAGACAAACGACAAACACGCGTGCCTCCGCTGTTTGCGCAGGGATTCTGCTGACGCTGCTGGTGATAGCGCTGTTCCTGCGGCACGACGACACACCGATCGTGAAGGCGTCTGGCCGCGAGCTGAGCTACATGCTGCTGGCCGGCATCCTCATCTGCTACCTCAACACGTTCCTGCTGCTCACCAAACCGAGCGCCGTGGCGTGCGCCCTGCAGCGCGTCGGCATCGGACTGGGCTTCTCATTCATCTACGGCGCTCTCTTTACCAAGACCAACCGGATCTCGCGCATCTTCTACTCGGCGTCTCGCTCGGCGAAGCGACCGAGCTGTATCAGTCCGCGGTCTCAGATTGTGATCGCCACGCTGCTCATCAGCGTCCAGCTGCTGGGCACGCTGGCCTGGCTGGTGGTGGAGCCTCCCGGCGTGCGCTCCTACTACCCGGACCGCAGCGAGGTTATCCTCAAGTGCCGCATCAAGGACTCGTCCTTCCTGGTGTCGCTCGTCTACAACATGGTGCTGATCGTCGTGTGCACCGTGTACGCCGTCAAGGCGCGCAAGGTGCCCGAGAACTTCAACGAGACCAAGTTCATCGCCTTCACCATGTACACGACGTGCATCATCTGGCTGGCGTTTGTGCCAATCTACTTCGGCACGGGGAACTCGTTCGAGGTGAGTCTTGACACAACCGACACTTCAGCTTCATGGGTATGGCAGGTCAGTAATTTACTTTAAATATGTGATGCAACATTATTCGCGTTCATGTGTAATGTGTAAGTATTGCATGAACACAAACACTTTACCCTGGTCCACAGCTATCCAGTCAGGATTTATAGAAATTTTGAATTCTCTCATCGCTCTTATTCTAAAAACGGCACCCAAAATTAACATCCGTGATAACCAAATCCCAAAACATGTCACGGGTTTTACACTACCCCTGCTCGCTGCTCAGGACATCTCTCTCCCTGTCATGACCTGGCGACGGCCCAGGGGAGCGCCTGATGTCATGTCACGTGAGCAGCGCTATCTCGGTCCGTTGTTTATTGTTTCGCTGGCTCGGTGTGGTTGTCGACCGAGCGCCCATTCCGAGCCATGACGGTCCTGCGCAAACCGACGGCAGGCAGCTATTGCCATTTCAGACGGTAAATATTGGTCATATGACCGACCACGGCCGCCGGACACCGGTCGGAGGCACATAATATCCCTGTCCACGGGCCGATTCGCCTTTCAGAATGTTGATTTCCGCAGTAATGCACCGCCAAGTCTGTAGGTAACATGTAATTTGTGTTTCATGGGACTCTGGCAGGGAATGGCTATCGATTTATGACCTAATGCGCCATCGATGCATTACTTTGCTTTTTTGCACAAATAACAGGCATGCACGTATGTAAACGACCAATATGCAATGCATATGCATCTTTGATAGGATGAACCATCCGGAATCCAATACAGTTACAATCAAGTGAGGTTTATCAAGAAGTTGCGTTCGACCTTACACTTGGTTCACCCAGACCAGTTTATGGCTGTTCGTAACTTGAACCGACATGTGCCTTCCCAGTGACTGTTAGGCCTATGTGTCTTCATTTTCCCTTTCTCGGCTGTGATTGCGGCGTGGCATTTCTGTCAACGTTAGTTACCTCCAACGCTGTTACGGTGTGACTGTGATTCCAAGAATGGGCTCCTTCAGTTGGTTTGCCCCTGAATTATTTGGAGTGCAGTGAAAACTAGCATATGATTACGTTATCTACGCATATGAAAATCTCGGCTGGGGATTCCATTTTAAAATCCGTTTCGTACTCTGCTCTGTTGTTGTTTACAGTCGAGATGGCACCTGGCTCTGACTCAATGGACATGTTGCAGGTTCAAATCACCACGCTATGCGTGGCCATCAGCTTGTCGGCGTCCGTGGCTCTCATCTGCCTGTACGCGCCAAAGATATACATCATCGTCTTCCACCCGGAGAAGAACGTGCGGAAGTTGACGATGAACAGCGCGACCTACCGGAGGGCGCTCACCAGCTCCACGGCGCAGTCCATCAACCACGGTGAGTCCGTGGAGTCAGTGATCAGTCCCTGGCAAACCGTCAGTCCCCGGCGCTGTCAGGTTTCTGGATGCAATCTGTGTGTCCCGGCATGAACAGCCATACTGTCTTCGGTTCAGTCAGTATCTGGTAAACAGCCAGTGGCTCCGGCGCACAATTAAGGTCATGGGTTAAGTTAGTTCCAGGGAAACCGCAGTAAGTCCCTTGCAGTGAGTCCTTTGGAACAGTCAGTCACAGTCACTGGCCGGTAGAATCAGTCCGCGGACTTCGAGGTGTGCGACCTCAGCCAGTCCCCGGGCATGCAATGGTACTCAGCTTCTCAGCTCCACGGCCAATAACAGTGAGATGTGAGGTGGCATTCATGTAACGTGCTGATATTTCGACCACGACCGGACCTTATCCTGTGAATCACCTCCAATGAGCTCGGGCCACCAGCGGTGCTCAGCTCAACAGATGCCATGAATCTTGGGATACGGTTAGAGATTCGCCGCATGAGGTACTTGATAGCAGTTTGGCTCTTAGTGAATTTTCCAGATCCTTAGCGATTATTTTTTGTGAAAGAAAATGAGCGGAATTAGAATGTAAGTTTTATTGTAGATGAAACCAAATGAAATAACATTTTAACCTGATCAGTAATGATGAAAATAGCTCGTAGCGTTTGATGGAGTTGCTGTGGGAATGACACCAGGCCATGCAACTGTTTATCATGAGCCAAAATAGTGTAGTCAATGTTTGATAACTCCTTACATCAAATGGCATCAATTGGACAGTATATACTGCCATTTGATGTAATGAGTTATTAAACATTGACGGTAGACTGTAGGTATACCTACAGTCTACCGTCCCAACCATTAGTATATTGCACGGTGACATTTTCTGTGCTGTGAGTAAAACATCCTCCAATAGAACTCAATTTCCCCGTATAGAAGAGATTCCCTAACTGATTCCCCCTTGGTCCGGCGACGGATGGTATGAGTTGTCGGCTCGACCCACTGATGCGCTGTCCCGCCGGGCGCTGAGCGGCGCTCCTGATTGTCAAAGTTGCCCGCTCTCGGGCCCGGTCGACCTTTGGTCTGTTTGAGCGGCGGCTCTGGGTAGCCGGAGCGACATCGGTCGTCGGTACTTGTGCGCCGCCGGCCAGTCCTCAGGAGACGTCCTCGGGTCGCCCGTCGACGCCCAGTGAGAAAAGTTGGTCGGCCCTCCTCTCGTCTTTGTTTGACAGCCGTCCGACCGGCAGCGGCGCCGCTCTGTTTGACATCCACCCTGTGTTTTTACTGTCCGAATTCTGGAGTCATTTTATCTTCGTTGGCTCGCGGTGTATAACCAATCATCCGTTGAAGCGCCACCTGCGTGACATGTTTACAAATAGCTTCCTGCGCACTCAAACGTGTGATTGGGTTCCGGGAACACACTGTTCGTTCACACTTGCGAAATATTTGAAAACAAATTTCACATGTTATGGTTCTCATTCACCATGTTCTGTTCAAGCTCTTGTCCTTCCTTATTTCGTTCCGTAAAACGTTCCGTCTAATAAGAAACGTTTTGCCGTTTTGGAAGGCTGCGGACTCATAAATTCTGCATCCCGGCGTTGTTGAAGCTCATCGCTAACCATCTTTTAGACCTTTCTGGATCGGACAGGATCAGACCAGTTGATATGCTGAACAGTGTGATCAACTCCTGCCAACTTAGGCTCTGCAGGGATTCACCTGTTGAATGCTCCTCTATTCCGAGGGCGCCCGTATCTGAGCTGCCGGCAATTCATCGGACACCTCCTGAGCATCGCGTGGGCTATAATGGTTTTACGGAGGTACAGGCTTATGCTCGGACCCTATAACGGTACCTTCTGTTGTGTACATACATGAGTGTGGCGTGTGAGTCTGTGTGCCAGTGACGTCAGAGAGTTGTGTCGTGACGTCACTGGATCACGAAACTCGCGTCCATGCCACGAGTCACGATAGTTCCATGTCCCATTGCCGTAGGCCGGATCGTCACGAAATAAAGCTGCACGTTCACGCTGTTCATCGGTCTCGATTTGTGGAACTTTGGAATCTCGATGAGTGAATTGGCTCTTATTGAACTGCGGTGTGAGTAGCATGTGATGTTTTATTCTTATGACTGAGTCTGGGTAGAATGCAGAAACAGGAACAGTTTATAAAAAGTTGAAGTTGGAATAATTACTATAGTTGTTTTTATACATATGATCATTTATTTGTCATTTACTTGCCAGTAACTTATATATAGAAATGCTTGAAATGCTGCCAATTGAAGCTATCGGATTTTCATTAATCTCGCGAGCGCGAATTCGTATAAAAAGCGGACGTAAAAAGACTAACAGCTATCTAACAGCACTGCAGCTGCTTTAACACTGCAGCGTTAGGCTCTTCTGGCTCGCTTTTCTCGCTTGATGGGCCGTATTTATCACGTGCCGATGCAAATGGGTCTTGGCAGGACCATAGCGCTGCTTAATGTAGCACTCGCTGAACACTAATTGAAACACATAATTATAAGCAAATTATGATGCTTTAACTGTCGTCAGAAATTAAATGAATGAAAATCATTACAGAGCCTGGGAATTCAGCAGCAGCGTGGTGAGAGCAATAGCAGCTGAAATTATGGAAACCGCTGCAATGGATATTTAGTTTCCGGCGATGCACAGTGGCCCTTTTTCAGAATTAGCACGCATAAATTCAAAATATTTTTTCTCTTCTTTTGGGTAAAAAGCAGTCTAATCGTGTGCAAAACATTCCAAACTATCCGATGGTGCCATTTTTACCTCCTAAAAAATAATTATCGTTGGTAAAACTGACCGCAAAATCGAAGTTTGTCGAGAGGCGCGCGGACACCACCGGCGGACCCTAAAAAGTAGGGTGAGATGAACATCAATTTGTAAGACTTTGGATGAGAAAATATTAAAAATTAGTGGCGTGGCTGTGAAGCTGAGTTTACGTAGAAGCCCTAGAAACCACTATTTTCATTGTATAAACTTAAATAGACCACTTTTGCCGAATATTGTGGACACAATAACAGGACAATTATTAACTGGAGATGGCGGGATACATATGAAGCTTTATGTTAAGTAGAACACTCTGGAACATGTCGTATTATACATCGTTCGAATCGCCGATCTCTTCTGACCATGTCCACCAAAGGGCATCGCGCCATTTTGCGCCATTTTGCTTCTACGGTGGATAACGTGAACCAGTTCAGTCCGCGAGCGGCTGTGGCTCCTGTTCGATACGACTAAGCTCATTGACCTGGCTCGAAGCTGGTGTCACCTGGTGTGCGCCTAAATGTGGCTTGACTTTTGCCATAAGATGTGCTAATTGAAATGTCATGTAGGCATAACGCTGTGCCCAAGAAAAACTGTCCGATTTCTTGTCGCGTTTGATGTCCAAGCCGCACAAGTCCCGTGGTCGGCTTAAGATCTAACGTCAAAAGCGCCTATGTGTTTGTATTGTTCGCGTCGCGCTGACCTTAGTTGCTGCCCGGCCTGGGCCGACTAACGGTGGCTGGCAACAGCTGTAGATGCGGTCACGTGACGCCCTGGGGCGTCCTGGCGGTCAGTGCAGCGCGGTCGGCTGGCGGGCTCGCCATACAGTTCTCTATATACCGTGGCCACACTTGCGTTCGGAGCGGCCTGGCCGGCGGGCGAGCCGTGCGAACGTGCGCCAAATCTTGGGCCGAGCGGCCTGTCGCTATTGGGCCGAATCTCCTTGGGCAGTTCGTTTCTTTTCTTCTCTTTGCATTGGCAGGGAATACGTCCTTGATCACGTGGTGATGTCTTGCACCACTTTCAGGTAATGTGGGAATTAATGCGTGCTAATTCTGAAAAAGGGCCACTGTGCGATGGCTGGGCTCCGTTGAAAATTAGGACGGGACGCTGAATTAGTCCTTTAAACGCTGCTGAGAGACCCACAGGGTTGCTGGTTACGTAATATAATAGTGAAATATCAAAGAAATAATACGTTTATAGTGTGGGAATTTAGGCCATTCACTCCCATCATAAACGAGCTGAGTCGAGTTTCATCTTCACTTTAGATCGCTGTGGGCTGTGGCTATACTATAGGAATATCAGTAAATAAAATCGAAGCTGCTAGAAAAGATTGCTTATATGCTTAGGTGAAAGAATGATCTTCATGATCTCCCATGCAGAGGTCATTTATGCACTCAGCAGCTATGCAGCTATGCAGTTTTTCGTGCTACCTGACGTCAGCACTGTCACGTGACCTCTCCAATCCCTATTATTGTTTCGTGAGAAAATACAAAAAATGCTGAAGTAGCGCTGGAATTTAAATTCAGTTGGGGAAACTACGAGGCGAAAATCAAAAAATTGATTGCGTCAATAAATGGACTTTTGATGACCATATATGGGCATAAATGCAGCCCCTGCTACTAAGGGCGAAAAACGGTATAACAAGCCGGTACTTGCGGTATCGCGTCCACTTATCGGAGAGAAAAGGCTTCCATTTTCCACTAGGAATTAGCGTGATTTGATAAAATTCGGCGAAATGACTCGAAAATGGCGATAGGAAAACGGCTTTTCTGCAGGTTCTGAGCGTCACAATCAGCTGGCCATTCAATAAATGGATTGGTGTTTTGAAAGAAAATTGTTAAAAGATTTAATTTAATTACAATAAACAATGATATTTAATTTTAAAATAATAATTTAACCATAATTAGAAAAACCATAAACAAAATAATTAAAATAATGAGATTTTTAAACCACCGTACTGTTCACATTTTTTGGCGCGTCTGTTTCAGTCCGCCATATTTGCCAATCACTGATTGACCTTGTGTTGTAACTCTGCGATTTAGAGCCGCCAGTTAATTGTGCACCGAGTGAGTGTGGGCCTTGTGTGGTTAAAAAACATTCTTATGCCTTATTTTTTTCATTTGAATGCTAGGATGCATTGAAAAGATGAAGTTGTCTGATTTTATGACCATATATGGTCATCGCCCCGCCCACTCCAGCCGTTGATTGGCTAATCCAATTTTTGTTTGGC